TTCATTTGTCATCTCCAAAATGTAGATGTAAGGTCTACAATGGCCCACTTAACGTCTTCAGGTCTATTTTTATCCATATCAAGTCATTCCCTTTTTTTTTTTTTATCACATGGATTTTGGAAGAGCTGTTACTTTGCAAATAATGCTGTGAGTCACCAAAATCAGGGTGAGTTTTAAAACATTTTCCTATTATTTGCTTGTCAGACATTTTTTCTCATGATAAACATCCAGGAAATTCCCAGAATGACCATCAGTGCTAATTGTATCCATTTTTTCCTGTTTCACCCACAATGCATTATATTTGCAGAACAGCATATTAAATAAAGCTGTATGCCAATAACAGATTAAATAGAATAATCTGTTGTCATAAATTCTACTAAATATTTATCTATTATTTTATTTTAGGTTTTCATCATTTATTATTTGTATAATAACTCAAAATGGAAAATATACCTAAAATTCCTTTCTCATATGTTCTGCATTACAACAATCCTGTGAAGCGAGTTCGTCTGAGATAGATAGAGACTGGCCCAAGGTCATCCAGATGACTTTCATGCTTAAAGTGGGATTAGAACACATATTTTCCTGATTTCTAGCCTGATGCCTTAACCACTAGACCAAGGGTGTCAAACTGGATCCCATTGCAGGCCATATCAGGATTTTGTTTGTCCTTGGGGGGCCAGATTGGGAGTCGCCTAGTTGCTGCAGCTGACTGGATGGGAATGGCCGGTCCCTCACCATCTTGGCACGGTCCTATGGGACAACTCTGGGCCTATTGAAGGCAGGATCCGTCCTGCGGGCCACATGTTTGATGCATTTGCACTAGAACTAGACCAACCATTTGCATTTGCTCTGATAAAATCTTTTTTATCTGAATGTGATATTCATAACCAAAGATCCTCAACTAGAGTACTGTATGGGAGAATATTTGCTTTTGGTTCTTTGCATTTCTTTGCATTTTTGTATTAGTTTTATATATTTGATACAGTAAATTGACAATCAATAAAGTTTACTTCTTCATAGGAACTGTAAAGGGTAGAGAAGAAGAAATGTTTAGGGTATTCTCCATCTTTCTCTCTCTCTCTCTCTCTCTCTCTCTCTCGGTAATATCATACCAAGATAACTTGGGATTTTATTTTTATTTTTTTAAACTCACACAAGGAGTAGAATATGCCAAAAAAAGAGAGGAAGGAATAAATAACATTTTTAAAAAATGAAAATCTTTACAGAAATTCTAGTCAACATGAAATTTGTATTTGAAGGCGCCGTACCTGCTTTTCATTTGCAGGCTGCCCATAGAAAAGTTGTTCATGCTAATCAAATTTTAGCTCCACTAATTTGGTGAAGGTCAGCGTCAATATCAAGCGCATGCTGGCTGATAAGGATACATTAACAAGGGCATTTTTACTGAAAAGGAAAAAAAGGGAGAGGGGGCTTTTTCCTTAATCTCCAAGGCATCATCAACATATGAAGCATTCTGCCTATGGTTAAAAAGGTTGGAGAAAATTCCAAAGCTTATTTGTGTTCCATTTTTCTTCTCTTTCCTAGATCTTATTCTGTCTCCAATCTGATCTCAAACAGCATTTGGTTCAAAAATATCCATCATGTGTACAGCACAGGCGGGGTAATTTTTCAAAATATCTTTTAAATAATTGACCTCACGTTGGCTTCAGTTATTCATAGCCCTTGCCTTGAAGTAGATCCTAAACAGCTAGTCTCAATTTAAACATATATTATCCTGCCTTAAGTGCATTTATTCTCAGCCCCTTTCAAAAGTTATTGGCTATTTTCTCTCCCAGAATTAAGGATTATTGAAGCATATGTAACGAGAACTTTGTTCTTCATAACTCATCTCTCCAGCTACTTGCTTACCAGTGAAGCAGCATTATTTGCAGGCAGCCGCTTCAGAGGACTAATGACTTTGTTGCCACTTTAAAGAGGAAGACAAAGGCAGGAAGAAGAAAAAAAAATCACAGCTTAATGAGAGGATGAATCAATTTACGGTATTTTATTGCAAACAGCTTGATGAGAAATATCATTAATACTACAATTTAACTTTGAACAGGCATCTCTATATGATTCTTTTCCTTTGTTTTTGAATACCGATTCAGTATCTATTCCTTCTAATTTAAAAGCTCAAGAAGATTTCCTCTAGCTCTTAATTTTACTTTAACATCAAAGTAAATTCTGGGAGACATTGGGTAGTTGGTGAAAATTTAATGCTTTTAAATATCCAATTTATGTATTTATATTAACATTTTCACTAGCATAATTCCCAACTTGTAGAAGAACTCAAAACACCTTTGAAGAACACAAACCAGCTAGTCGAGTTCCCCCAAATCATTTACTATTGTGAGATAGATTGGGTAGTTCCAGTGTGGACTGCATGGAATTTCACCGTCTATCCTAAAGTAGTTAGATTAGCATGCGTCAGAGGTTTTCTGGGTTGGCTATTCCCCAGATGACAAGAATTTGAGAAAACCAATGGCTGGAGCTCAGCTGAATAACATTCGCTATTTTTTTGTTTGTTAAAATATTAAAGATTACCACAATGACACTTTATTCTCAGTGACATAAGCAGTCTAACTCACTACATATCACCGTAATTTGTGTCAAAATGTGATTATGATTGACTCTGAATATTTTCAGGGGGAAAAAAATAACTTGAGGTAGGTGAACTGAAGCAGCTATAGAGAATAAAAAAACTCCAATTTTACAATTCTGTAATCCCTTAATTTGGGGCCAACAAATTAGTTGGTAAAACTGGCATAAAATAAGATCACTATTTATTTCATTAAATGGAGGCAGTAATTATTTATCTCCATAAAACCTTTGTTCCTATAATGTAAGTCCTGCAATGAAGTTTATTAACAATGAGCTTATCTTAATCAAAACATATAGCCACTTATTTTAAGCATGTTTTATTTTGAACTTCCTTCCTTCCTTCCTTCCTTCCTTCCTTCCTTCCTTCCTTCCTTCATCTATCTATCTATCCATCCATCCATCCATCCATCCATCCATCCATCCATCCATCCATCTATCATCTATCATCTATCATCTGTCTAACACAGAATTTAAGGACTGGTTTGTCTCAAAGATACTTTTTAAAAAGTTAAACTACATTGTGCCTATTGTGAAGATTAACTATGGAAGATAAGTCCCACCTTCCTAATTATTCAGCAGACCATTTAATTGTAATCAATGCTGATCAATTTGCATCACCACATAACTGCCACAGATATTTGTATTCCAGCTCATTGCTATCAGAACAACCAATTATAATAGCAATGCATTATTTTAAAAATGAGGGTATCTTACACTGAAAAAATGCAGCAGCTATTTCAAATATCTTTTTTTCTTTCCTGGTTATCTCTGTCAAATGACCTTATATCATAAAATCAGATGAAATAATATATGATTAATTTCTTTTTGGAAGCCCTGTTTGTAAGGTGTTATAGTTGCATTAGCATGTCTAATTGCTTAATGACAAATCAGATATGGTTCATTGCTGGTAAGTGTAGAAACATGTTGTTTGAAGGATATGGCTTAATTAGTCTTCTCCTAAAAATACGTCCCTCATGACCATTGGATGTAATCATTATTTTATGTATTTAACTGTGAAATTTATATTTATTTAGTAGGCTCAAGATTCTCTCTTTATTTCATCCTGAGTAGCTAAATATGCCACATTTAGATTTTAAAGGAAGTCACAAAATCTCAACAGCAGGTACTAAATAATAAGGAAAGGAAATTTAAATAGCTATTATTGCCATGAAACAGATGTATTCTTTCAACGAAAATACAACAAGGATAATATTGCAGTCATAAAACACAGAGGGGAATACATATAGAGGGAAACTCATTTTAATTCCTCATTTAATAATGTACAGCAGGGGATGTTCTCCTAGATCAATGAGGCAATTTGGGCAATCCTTTTTTCTTGATCAGCAAATCTGAATTTGACTTCTTTCCAAGGACACACTGATTTTTTTTTTTTTTACTTCTCTAGATCAGTGTTACTCAACCTTGGCAACTTTAGAATGTGTGGACTTCAATTCAGAAGTTGTGGATGCTCCATCACTGGAGTCTCTTAAGAAGAAACTGGACAGCTATTTGTCTGGAATGGTATAGGGCAGTGATGGCTAACCTTTTTGCCATCGCGTGCCAGTAGGGGGGGGGGGGGGGGGGTCACGTGCGCACGTGCCTACGCGCATGTGTGCGCAACCCCCTCCCCCCCGCTCCTGGCACATGATGGCCTGGTAGGCCCGTTTTTCTTTCTTCCCTGGTTCCAGATCCTCTCTGTGTATCTGGGAATGGCGAAAACAGCCTTTCCCACTCCCTTGGAGGCCCTATGGAGGCTGAAAAAGCCCATTTCCCCACTCTCGGTGGGACAGGAAGTGACGTTTTTTCCTGTCACCAGCCTCCAGAACCTCTCTAGGAGTCTCTAGGAGTCTCTCTAGGAGTCTCTGGAGGTTGGGGACAGGAAAAAACGTCACTTCCTGTCCCACCGGGAGTGGGGAAATGGGCCCTTTGAGACTCCATAGGGCCTCCAAGGAAGTGAGAAAGGCTGTTTTCGCTGTTCTCAGATACACAGAGAGGATCTGGAGCCAGGTAAGAAAAAAAGGCCCTCCAGAGGCAGGAAACAGCCTGTTTCCCTACTTCTGGTGGGCCCAGAAGGCCCGAAAATCAGCTGGCCGGTGCACGCATGCGCCCTAGAGCTGAGCTGGCATGCCCACTAATATGGCTCCGCATGCCACCTGTGGCACGTGTGCCATAGGTTCGCCATCACGGGTATAGGGTCTCCTGCTTGAGAGGGAGTTGGACTAGAAGACCTCCAAGGTCCCTTCCAACTTTGTTATTCTATTATTTGATTTTTCCCCCCCTAGACCAAGGCCCATTCACTACAAAATGAATCAAAGCAAAATGACAAACTCCCAGAGACCCAGCAAACACAACTATATCCTAACTATATCTTAATTATATTTCAGGAGTGATATTCATAATTGCCAGTTGACAGCTTCTAAGTGAATGGCAATGAAGTTGTGCGAGTTTATACTCACTTTGATTTCAGACCTGCTTGTTTGAGGTACCATTCTGAATAAAGAAGTGACTTCCTCACGTACTTTTTGGATGATCGATGCTTGTTTACATTCTCTTAATTTCCGCTTGTCACCCCAGATCAGTTAGGGTGGAATGTTCTATTCATTAACTGAATTGTGATAGATAGAAGCAACTAACTTCTGGTCAACCTCATGGAATCTTGCATACTGGAAATCATATTGTTCATTAATAATTTAATTTTTGGTATTAATCATTTATTAATTGATTTTCTATTATTTACAATTATTTTTAATATTATTCATCATTTATAAATTAATAACTAATCATCCAAAGTTTTCTGAGTCAGCTTTGCTAGAGACTGTTTCAGGTTAAAGTTGCCTAAGATTCTGTGTTTTATAGCCAATCTCTTGTAATGTACATAATTATTGCTTAGGAGAATATATATATATTTAAAATTAAAAGTTGTAATTCAGTTTTGGATATCATAATGTTATGATAATTACTGATTATTCTTTATACTGTAAAAATATTTCCAGGACCCAGTCTACAATATAGGAGTGGAAATTTCTACAATACAGGGTTTTTATGCACCAAGTGTGGAGTCTGTGAAACGAATAAAATGTAAATGATTATGCAAAGACTTTCACATGGGACCTTGTCATTTCCATGCTTTAAACAGCTTCCAAAGTTCACTGAAAGTTACAGAAAGTATCCAGTGACACTGAAGTGAATTTAATATGAAAACCAGAACTATATAAAGGCAGAAGCAATTTGTTCTATTTTTTATTAGAACATGAAGAAATGCATGCTTTTCTTCTTACAACAACTTCTTTTTTCTAAACTACCTAGCTTCAATATTTAGCAAAACAACATACAGTATCTACCATTTAAAGCCCATAGCCAGTGTTATTAAACACAAAATAAATGTTAATAAAACATATATCAGAATATTTCTGAAGAGTAATACTGAATCCATACAATCTCATAATGCTTTGTATAACATGGATGAGGAAGTTTTGATCCAATAATTATTTATCACATATTTCAAGGAAAATACTGCTTTTTTTTTCCTATTGGTTATTTCATTACTTATTAGGTTTTTATCCTGCCTTTATTATTTTATAGGTAATTCAGGATGGCAAACATACTGAATATTCCTTTGTCCTCCCCCCCCCCACAACAACAGTCATGTGAGGTGGGTTGGGCCAAAGAAAGTGATTAGCGTAGTCAGCCACTCTGCTTTCATGCCTACACTGCATATGAAAATAGTATATATAGTACTGAAAATATGGATGTTCAAGAACAAACATAACCTGCACCAAGCTGTATAATTACATATATTAGCTACTTCTGGAAAATGAACTAAGATCATTAATGAAATATAAATGAGAGTTAACACTGTTTATTGAACTGGAGCCCTCATCGAGTCACAACTATAATATATGTACAATTGTATTATTTTTACAATCCAGAAACTGAATTGTTGGTTTAATTTATTTTAATAAATATATTTAATTATATGAGTGCAAGACATCAACCAAAGTAAGATACTTTGTATCTAAAAACTACCATTAAATTAAGAAAAATAAACCCTCAAACATTATAATTTGCCTTATAAAATGTACATGTACTATATTAAAAGTTGGCTAGGTCAATATCCAGGAAATTATTTGAATGTATAAATATCAAGTATAACAGCCTACATTTTTTTAAAAAAGTAAAATCTTCTCTTCGTTCATAATATTTTTGGTGGCAGTTGTTTTTGCTTTGCCTTTAATAATAAGCAAAGAAGGCTTTTATATTACACCATTCCATTCCTCAATGCTGCCACATTTTTACTTATTTATGTATGTTCCTTATAGCCTACATGTTATTGATGAGTAAATGTTTCCTGAAAGAAAGTCCCTATTGAAAAACAGAATTAAATTCTGTACAGCCACATGAATTGCATTCTGAGCTACTTAAAGTTCTTCTTGATGGTCTGGAGAAATCACAGAAAATTAGTGAAGTCTGAAGGACAAAAATAATCCATAAATTGTAAAAGAAGGAATCAAAGAACTGGGATGTGTTTAAAGAAGAGAATGATTGAGGATCTCCTAGAAGGCAAGAATGAATAAGAAGGAACTAACAATTATTATTTTTTTTTATCCTAGACTTGTGAAAACTGATCTGACAGCATTATTCATTATATAGGAAAAAAATAAAGAACTATTATCTTTTATTTCTTTGTGCAGGTCATAGAATAAAGATTTTAAGTTCTAGGAAAGCCAATTGAATTCAAGGGATAATAACGATTAGAGCAATTTAACAACAGAACTAATTATCCAGAAACATGGTAAATCCTCTTTGCCTAGAAATGTTCATGTTTCTGTTAGATAACCATCTGTTATGAATGCTAGAATTTCAATATCTGTGTTTAGCGGCAAGGTTGATGGCTTCAATATCCACCTCCAATTTTGTCATTCTCCTACGATTCTTTTATCTGATACTTTGGGATCAAGGGATGGTTGAGGGAGGTGAAACAACTATTTCACCTTGAAGTCATTCTTGATCTAAAGCAAGTCAAATGCATCCCTTAGCTTCATGGCATACTTGTCCCATAGTTTTGAATACCATGGCTTGGTATGTATCTCTGCTGTTGAGAAAAAAATGACTGGTCCAAGGTCAGCCAGGTGGCTTTATGTCTAAGGTGGGATTAGAAGTCACAGTCTCCTGGTTTCTAGTCTGATGCCTTAACTTCTACACCAGATAGACTCCCACTCCCTCTCCTTCTCTCCTTGCCTTCTCTTCATCCCTCTCATTTATTTATATGCAGTCACATATATTTCTTCAAAGTGCAGTTAAACAATGTTTATGCGGCAACTTTATGAACATGTGAAAAAACTGAAAACAACTAATATGCTTATCCAATATTTATCCTGCACTATCAAATGGTTGCTTGAAAAGAAATTGCTAATGGGACCAGCCTGAGTCTTTTATTGGAAGGCATTTCATAATCCAGGATTATTACTGAGCCCTCTGGGTGATCTTCCATCTTCCTCTGAATTGGTAAAGGGAATGACTGAAGGATTTGGAAGTTTTACCTGTGCTTGTTGGAAAAAATCGCATGAAGCAAAAGTGAATCAACACAAAAGACTGAATATCCCCCGTATAAAATACAATACATTGAGTTCTGATCATAAGTTTTATTTCCTGGTTTAATAAAACAGGTTCTTCTCAGATCATCAGTCAATATTTGCTTTTTGTGCTAATTGTGATAGAGGGGTCAGTTGTTTAAAGGAAGATGAACATAGTAATGTAAACATTAATTTCCATGCTATTTCTCAGCTGCACAACTGATTTGTTTAAAATCTTAAGAAAGCGAGAATAGAAGTGAACACTGAGCTTCCTTACCAATGAATTATCCTCTAATTTGTACGATTCAGTTTCAGTACTCAGACAAGGCCAGATCCCATTATTTCTATGTAGACAGCATGTATTTTCTAGGGAAAATACATGCTGTCTACATATCTGACAAAATTTGGCTCTGGCCCACGAAAATGTTAGCCATGGTAACTATATTATAATAACTGCAATAACTAGCAATAATATTTTTGTTCTGCTATCTTTATTTTATAGATGTGTAGGATTCAACTCCCAGAAATCTTCAGCCAGCATGGACATGGCTGATAATACTGGGAGTTGGGTCATATAATTTAGAGGGTGCTAAAATTGGAGAAGACTGATTTATCTCTTGAATTATTGTCCAAAATCAGTGTTTCTCAGTCTTGGCAACTTTCAGATATGGGGACTTTTAACTCCCCAGGTGGCTCAGTGGCTAAGACACTGAGCTTGTCAATCAGAAAGATTGGCAATTCGGTGGTTTGAATCCCTAGTACAGGTCTCCTGTGTGAGCAGGGGGTTGGACAGATGACCTCCAAGGTCCCTTCCAACTCTGTTACAGTTACTGTGTTTGTTTCCATCTACAAATGCCGTGTTTTCATGATCTCTTACATCTCTTTAAAACCAAGAGCTGATTTTACTTCACATCTACATCTATCAATCTACTTATATAATCTAGAGATTGCCTGATTCCAAATGACTAGATAGATTACATTTTAAAAGCAAGAAGCACTTAAAATAGAGAAAATATTGTGCATGTTGAGAGAGAAAACAGTATGTAGCAAGGAAAGAAAGGTGTACAGGACTCAGTAACCACCATACTTCATGGAATGGAAGAATAGCCATATTCTCAAGGACTTTAAAAGATAATCACGGTGGGAACCATATGAATTTCTGAGGGATTCTGTTCCAGAAGGCAAGTGCTGCAATAGTGAAAGCATATTTCCCTGGTGGTGATATGATTTAATTGAGTGGACTTGGACAACATTCACTCTTCCAAGTATATTTGATAGATAGGAACAATCATAGAAAATTGTTTCCTCAGATAACTAGGTCCTGTGCCATGAAGGATTTTATATAAGACAATTTAGCACATTGAATTGTACTTGGAAGTTCACTAGCTCATGAAACACATATGGGTGTAGAGTGCAGCATACCCATTGCTGCCCATACCACTGGACCATGTATAGCTTCTGAGCAGTGTTCAAGATTAGCCCTAATGCAATCGTCCAGTTGTGAGCTGATTAGGGCATGATTGACTGATATACATTTGCCCAGATTTCTTTAATCCCATTGAAAGCTAGATGCTTCACTAGTTCATTTAATCTTACGTTACATTTATTTATTTATTTATTTTATTTTATTGTTTATATTTATATACCGCCCTTCTCCCGAAGGACTCGGGGCAGTGAACAGCCAACAGATAAAACACAAGAAACACAAAATTTAAAAACAGTATTAAAATCTGATTAAATTAATTTGACCCACAATTAAAAGCACCCCTGTATTAAAACCCATAATTAAACAGTTTAAAAATTAAAACAATTTAAAAGAGTTAGGCCAGCTGGGCTTGTTGGAATAAAAATGTCTTTAGGGCACGGCGAAAGGTGCGTAGATCCGGGATCTGCTGTATCTCCAGGGGCA